AAAATTGTGGCTTAATGGTTTACGGCGTTAGTGGATGAAGGCACATGTGCCCTCTATTTGGTTATTAGTTTCTTTCCTCTTCTCACTTGTTCTTCGCTTCGCCTCATTCAAATTGCATCAGGCGGCGTTTCAGGTTCGGCATTATTGTTGGGGTCGATTAGGTTTTCTTGTTTTATTTGGTTCACTTTCTTTCTTGAGATACCTCGTTTGGGTAAGGAACTTGTTACGATGGATGGATTGTCAGACATACCTAGACTACGAAGTAACGACAGAGCGTTGAAACAAATCACATCATGAATGCGAGAATTGGAATCATCCTTTCCCTTTCTCATGTTTGGAATAAATAAGCCCTATACTGAACATTGAATCTATTCTGCCATGACGGCCAAGCCGTCTCTATTTTCCTCAGCTTGTCCATATTACTCTAGCAGAGAAGCCTGGTTCGTGTATAACGCATCCACCACATTGCTCAGCTTATCAATAGTCTTCAGAGCAGCGTCGTAAGATTCGTCACGGTGAGTCTCATCGAAGATGATGAGGCATCCTGCACCTTGGTCGAGGACGCCGATGATGACCTTGTCCAGGATCATCTGTGATAGCTTGCGCTCAACTTGCTGCGTGTCAAGACCGACCATCTTAGCGATATGGTCAATCTCGACGCGGGAGAATGGCTCGATGACCTTGATCAAGTTCTGCTCCAACATGGCATCATAAAGTCGTCGAAGATGGTTGCGGATGAAAGCATCACTGCCCAGCTCATACCGATAGTCAGAGAGGGCTCTCTCATACTCCTCCAGGGAGCGATTCGAGTGCGCACGAGCAATGGCCTTCATAGCCTCGAGGTTCTTCCCAGCATACTTGAGCGCCTGCTTGGATGACATGAGCTGGTTGACGTCCTCGACAAGGTTCAGCATAATCTTGCAGAGCAGCATGTACTGGAGGGCCGCCTGCGCCTTGCTACTCTCCTCCTGGCTGTGGTATCCGTCCAACGCCTCGATGAAGTATGAAAATGCGGTATTGAAGTCCTTATCTTCGGCATGAAGCATACCGCTCTGCATATCGAGGTTGGCTTGCAGCAATGGAGGGGTGTAGACACTGGCGGCGCTTGTTCGGGCGCTGGTCAAAGCAGCACGGGCTTTAGGGATATTTCCAAGGGCGTGGTAGACTCGGGACTCGAGGAGCTGGACTTCGACTAAGCGTAGCTTGTCATCGAGACGCTTGAGCTCGCGAAGAAGTCCATTGATGAGGGTAAGCGCATCGTACCAAGATAGCTTGGTCATGTGAAGGGTGACGAGTCGGACTTCCAAGTCCTGTCGCTGAAAAGCGCGGCGCTCGGAAGTAGCCCATTCGATACAATCTTTAGTCACAGCGATCTCGATGTCGGTACTGTTGGGAATGTCTCTGAAGATGTCGAGCAGTTGGCGCACTAGGAGTTGGTCGTGTGTCAGCATCTGGTGTTGTATAGGCCAGGCACGCGGGCAACATCTAGACTGCGAACTTACCCAGCTTAGCAGACTTGGCCTTTGCAAAGGAGGAAAAGACTGATCTGCTCTCTTTTACAAGGTTGACCAGGTCCTGTGTCCGCCTATAGATATATCAGTCAGCTATCCAAGCGCCCGATGCTTCACCAGATTGGGAAACCCACGTCTGGTCTCTGTAGAGCTCGCCTAGGCTTATCAGAGCAACCTCATATTCTCGGGTTGCGGAATCGGAGGCTGCACTGGGGGCAGTAGATGTGATTTCCTTGTAGATGGCCTCTGCTTTGCCAGGGTTGGTCTTGGTGAGCTTCTGGGCTTCTTGGACACGGTCCGAGTCACCGACCGCCATTGTCGAGGCTGCTGAGGGTGAAGGTTTGACAGATTATATGGTAGGTTCAAGGCGTTGAGTCCCGGGACTGGGTGTGCGGGAGAGCAGGGTGGTGTTGGCGGGATGCGTTGTGGTGAGGATGAGACGGTGCGAAATGATGCAGTCAAGCTTCCAACGCCTTCGTTGCTCTGCCCTTGCACTGTAGTAGCATTTGTTTGCCTGTGCTCTAGGTTGCCGCACGAGCGACGTAGGCAAGTGGGTCGCGGGTACCTCCAGGCTCGCTCTTGCCTGGGCCAGGGCCTACCAAGACCCGGCCGGGCAAGTAGCACCTACCCCACCATCGCATCTTCTTGCTGGCTCTGTCTAGCTCTCTGGATTGGTTACTGCTTCCCGATCGGGGTTGATTGCCGGATTATCATTTGGCCGCGAGCCCTGCGGTACCGGTCCCGATCCCTTAGGCTTTGCCGGCTACAGCAGGCACATGCGCATCCATGAAATTTCAGACTCCATTCCCGTTGCTCTTATACTCGAGAGCTCATCCCAAGCTTCACAGCCAACAACCTTTCCATTTCCTCAATTCCGCCACAACACCTCTAATTCACCATGTTCCGACACGCTCTCACCACCTCCTCCCGGGCGCTGCGCTCTACCGCCTCCAGAATGGCAGCCACGAGCTCTTTTGGCCCCTCACAGTTCCGCATCGTCGCCGCGGCCTCTCCCAGACATTTCACACCTACAATGGGGAGGTGGTACAGCGACGCAAAGGAGACCAAAACTGAGGAGGCTAAGGAAGAGGCTAAGGAGGCAAGCGCCGAGGCCGACCCAGTTTCTGAGCTGAAGAAGCAGCTTGAAGCCAAGGACGCCGAAGCTCGGGAATGGAAGGTTTGTACACAACCTCATTTTGTCTTTTTCCAATAAGGTACATTTGCTGACAATGTCTAAACAGGACAAGTGCCTGCGCACCGTTGCTGACTTCCGCAATCTCCAAGATCGCACTCAGCGTGAAGTCAAGAGCGCTCGCGACTTTGCTATCCAGAAATTTGCCAAGGATCTCATCGACAGCGTGGACAACTTGGATCGTGCCTTGACCACAGTCGCACCCGAGAAGCTCAATGCTGATAATCAAGATCTCAACAACCTACACGAAGGTATCAAGATGACCGAGACTGTGCTGATGCAGACTCTGGAGAAGCACGGTCTTGAGCGTCTCAGCCCCGAGGGCGAGAAGTTCAACCCCAATGAGCACGAGGCCACCTTCATGACACCCCAACCTGAGAAGGACGACAACACCGTCTTCTTTGTTCAGCAGAAGGGCTTCAAGCTCAACGGCCGAGTGCTCCGCGCAGCCAAGGTTGGCGTTGTCAAGAACAAATAAACACCTAGCCTCCCACCCGAGAAGGCACAAGTGTGCAAGTCACACCTGTTGTAATTTTAGTTGGACACAAAAAAACGGATGGCGTTGGATGAAAATGTGTAATGCTCCTCTCATGTTGACGAAAGAAAAAGATGATTTCAATGTTGTTGCATGGCGGCGGTTCTGATCATAAACAAAGACGAGAATTGTTCTTGGACGAGACGACACCAGATTTTATTCGGAATGGGACAAACAATGTATATATGTATATTATATCATCTGGCTGGCTGCTTATGCGCGAGACTGATCTCGAGGGGAGAATCGCTCCCTCTCTAATCTACGAACACGGACAAACCTCCATGCGGCCCCAACAGGACCAAAGCACGAGGTTTTGCTGAACACTCACCAACTCTTCACTCCTTTGAGCATTTATGTGACTAATAAACGGCAATAGGAGAGATGTATGGGATTCATCGACGTTCTTGATTTACTTGCGCATAGGGAGTTGATTATTGCGTACCTCCGACGGTGCTGTGGCAACGGTTGACAACTGTTGCCAGCTGCCAGCAACTGCAGAGGCCACACAGGCACACCGTCCTGCAGGTAGAGCAGGCTACCGCTAGCACAACAGAGGTGCCCAAATGTAAACAAAGAACCTCCTTCTACTACATCCTGCTTTTCCCTCGTGACGCTCTCGCCCGTGCTCAACCTCTCTCCTCTTGTCCCTTGCTTACCGACAACAATGCACACCTTCCGATACCGAACAATTCACAGGGCCTAACACGTCCCTCATATTCGACTGGCCACCTATCCCATTGGAAATGGCTTGCTTTCGCCTCCCTCGTTTCGGGAGAGCTCACCCTGATGTTCCCACCACGTGCAAGAGCACAGATGAGACGCTGAGGGGTGACATTGAGTATACTGAAACAAGAGAAGAAGAGTCTACCCCAATCAAAACAAGTAATTGCACCTCTGCGTGTGTCCTCGGATAGAAATTTGGCTCTTATGGCCGTTTGCGACGGACTAAACTCACCTGCTTACCCAGTCCGGAGAGTCCCAAGACTCAATCCGCTTTCGCTGAGAATCAGAGACAGTAAGCCATCATTTGCCTTCTTTCCGATTTAGCCTTTCTTTGTTTCATTTCAGCGTTTATCAATACCTTGCTAATGATTACTCAGGGCGCGACTCGGCCGTAGAATTTCAGGATTGCAATGGCACCACCGCGATGAACACAGCTACCACATTTCCTCAAGAAGAAAACATGCCGATCATGAAGCAGCACCACCATGGCATAGAGAAAGTTGACGGCTTGGAATTAGGCGACCTAAGTGGTGATGATGAGTCGCTCGCGAGTATGTCCAAGTCTGATACAGAAGCTCTAGAAATGCCGGGCATCCAATTTCATTCCCCAGTCATGGGAACATTTGTTTTTCCATACCCTCCAACTCACCGCCATGCAGAATTTGCTCCAAAACCCGGGGTCAATGAGGACTCCAATGACGATGTGGAGAATGGCGAATCCCGCCTGAACAAGCCCAGACACGTTTTGAAAAGACGCGGCCAATACAGCATCATTCCGTCTCCCAGCACCGAGATATCTATGCTCAACCTAGAGGAAGACCAGAATCACCAACCAATCCCCGTTACAGGAAGCTCAAACACCACGAGCAGCGATGAGTTTCCATTGAAAGGCCATGTCGATGGCGTTGTACCTCCGCCAATCTTGTCTCACTCATCACACTCTTCAAATTCATCTCTCCGCGGTGCTGCCGCCGGACTGGCTCCCGGGTGCACTGCGCCAACCGGGTCTCTACATTGGCGCCTAACAAACTCTGCTCTCATGGCCTACAACTCTTTGCGCGGGCCTTTCAAGGAAGCCGGTCGAGATGTCTACAACTGGGCGGAGCGATGCCAAGAACTGAATCTCATGAAGGTAGTGATGGCTGAGGGCGAGGGAACTTACGATGAGTGGGTTATACCAATACATGGTGCTCTCACAACCAGAGCTTTAAACAACCAGAAATCCCATTGCACATGTCCTGATCCCCTTTTCTTAATTTTTTTTTCTCAACCCTCGAAAGTCTCATGTTTCAGCTAACATCGATTGTGCATGTAGCATCCTAGCTGATGTCAATTCCTTGTACCATAGCGAGCAGCCGTCCCCAGACGAGCATCCAGGGAGGAAGGATGCATTCTGTCTTCCTCGAGCGCCATATGAGCATATCCACAACCCGGATACTTCTCAATCTCATGGTACTCCAGCCGCCGATCCCGTTCTTGCGCACAGCCCAGGAGCTGTACAGTACCAAGTCCCACAAATCGGACATGAGAACTTGTGCGTGGACTCTGAAAAATGGGGGTATTCGGATCAGGGAGATGGGGATATCGAAGGCATTGCTCTTCCAGAAGAAGGTAATACTGCGTCAAATCTGGTTCAATATCAGGCTTCGGAGAAATGTACTAACACATCAGTCCCAGATGAGTTCGTCATCTCTGATGACGAGGGTCACCCAGACGACGGCCGCATTTCACCCTGCACGTTCCGACTGTTTACTCTGAACTGCCTCCGACGACGTGATACACACCAGATCATTGACCAGGTTCTGCAGGTAACCATACCCCTAGCCCCGTATATCTAGGATCTTCTGTATTCACTAATCTACTCGCAGAACTATCGGCTTAGAGATCTACGCCTCGAGACCACTGGACCCCTCGGGACGGAACATCAGGCCCCAAGGTTTCCGGCCCAGTACCATCGGTTTTCTTCCGGCTCTGGTTACGCTTGTGATGATGAAGATGGAGATGAGGATGTGCAGGGGGTAAACTTGGTCCACATGGCCAAGATCGTCACCATCGAGCATTGGGTTTTTACAGGACACTGGCCCAAATTTTCCGACGACGTGTCTTATGTTTAAAGGTTCTTGACAACATATCGTGATAAGCAATCGGTATATACCTGTCAATAGCAAAATACATGTATGACTCCAAGATGATTATTACTCTAAAGTTACAATGAAGCGCATGTAACCAGTTTATTTCTTGGCTTTCCCCTTCGCCCCTGACGCCTTGGGCTTGGCCGCGGCTTTTGTTGGTTTCTTCGCGGGCTTCTTAGCCTTGGGTTGTTTGATATATTTATCCTTCTTCAAATCAAGCTCCTCTTCATCAGCTTCCGGAGCTTCGACGACCTCGGCTTCATCTTCTTCTTCAATAGCCTCCTCTAGGTCAGGGGCCTCCTTGGCCTGGACCTTCGGGGCTGTGACATTGCTTGCCTTGATGAATGGAACTGGGTGGTTCATTGAATTATAGCTGTCAAGAGTTAGCAAAGCTCAGGGAGTGCCTCAGTAGGAGTATAGATGAGCAAACTTACGTTCTGGTAAAGGCAGCTTTGACCTTTGAATCAACAGACACATTACCCTCATCCATATAACCAACACCAAGTTCCTGAATGGCGTCTACGTCGTCTCGGGTGAGGTAATAACTATCCATGAGCTCGATAATGTCGGAAACAGCTTCGTTGCCATCACGCTCAAGTCGTTTGACTATTTGGTCCCAGAGCACAGGAAGGTATTCCTGTCTAACCTCATTATGATCGCCAGATGATTTAAGACGCATATGAGAATGAAGCTCTCGAGTATAACGTCCCAGTTTCCCTGTTTTACTGTTATTTCCAAGCCAGCTCGTGAAGTCCGAGCCCATGAGTTGGCCAGCGATAAAGCTTGCAGGTCGAACTGTGCTGAAAACAGCATGTGTTGGCATGAGGCTCCAGTGTTGTTGAGGGCCATGGATCATTCTATCCACCAGGTCTCCGTCGCTGATGCTCTCAGCAGCCTTGTCAAAGAGTTCCAAAGCCTTCAGCTTTTCTTGTCGTTTATTGTAGCCTTGCCCATTCAAGGCCATTGGCTTGGTCTTGAGGTAATTTTCTTGGATCATAAGGAAGCTGAATTCATGATCGTTGAAATACAACTCAATCTTGTCATTGAGGGTCGACTTGCTGGCTGGTGCAAATAGTCCACCAGCCAACATCTTTTGGCAAATGTCCCAAGGTTTCAACACAACGTGTTTCTCCCACGCTTTGCTCATTGCCTTTCCTTTGTCAAAATCCATGCTCTTCTGGTCGAGCTTTGCTGTAGAAATCATATTAATGATCTGCCGGATATCCTTGTTGCTCCCTTCGATGAGAGCATCAACGACAGGAACTGGTAGTTTCAATCCTTCTCTATGGCATATAGTCATGATGCGGCCTCTGACTTGCTCGACCGTTGGGCGATTAAATCTTATATCCAGGGCCACATGGTCGAAAGGCTTCATCTTTGGCAGTTTGCGCTCATTGCAAATCAAGATGAGCGGGATCTCAGTCTTCTTGCAGAACTTTGCCAACGCACCAACACCACCACGATCACCTGCCGACATGCCATCGACCTCATCCATGATGAGCACAATCTTTTTCTTTGTCGAGTCCACAGATTTGCCATCGCCTGCAAAGTATCCGAGGAGCGAGGTGTTGTTCATCACATCACTAACACCGGCTTCAACTAACTTTTTGCTTCTTGAGTCGCTCGCGTTGCTCTCTAGAACATCATAGCCCTCAAGGTTAGCCGCAAGATGTGCAGCTGTCGTCTTGCCGATACCAGGCGGGCCAGATAGTATGATAGCACGAGCTCCGAGCAGTCCATCAGCTCCCCGTCGTTGGAAATCGTATTTTTTCGCCGTCGCCCAGCCTTTCAGCCATTTCTGTATCTTTTCAACTTGCCCCTTGTTTCCGCAAATATGGCTTAGCTGCGTTGGGGCGTACTTAGTAGTCAACAGTTGGGCAACTGGAGCTGGTGGGAGAACCGCCGACTTGTCCGTGACACCTCGAGCAGCGGCAGCCTTTTTCGCTGCCTTCGCTGCCTCCACTTGCTTTGCCTTCTCTTCCGCTTCCATTTCAGCAATTTCTTTCTTCATCTTTTCTTCATCCGCCTTCTTCTTTTCCTGCGCCTTTTGAGCTCCTTTGCCTGAGCCACCGAAGGCAGGAAGTTTCCGGATAAGATCAAATAATCCATTTTCGTCGATCGTCTTGATTCCCAGTGACTTTATTTTAGACAGCTTGCTTGGCCCAGCGTCTTCGCCAAGAACAACAAAGCTTGTCTTGCTACTGGGTTGTCCAGTAACTTTACCTCCATACCGCTTCACCAATGCCTGCGCTTCCTCTCGAGCAATTGTTTGCAATACGCCGGTGAAAACAAAGGTGAGACCACTCAAACATTCCTCTTCGCCGTCTGGTATATCTGCCGAACCTCCCATAGGCTGAGCAGCTGAGTTTCCACCACCATTGGCTTTTCTCCAGTCAAACTTAGCATTGGGATCCTTTGGCGGAGGCGTTGGTGCTCGAACTGTCGTAACGCTATTGAGAATGTCTTGAATCTCGGCATCTTCGGGTTCATCTGGCTTTTTTGTCCGCGGAGCTCGTGGTTTCGCAGGGGTCTTCCGCTTCTTTGGCGCCTCTTCTTCAGATTCTTCTGTGTCGGGTTCAGGGGTTTTTCGCTTTTTCGCCGCTGAGGGCTTTGAAGGCTTCTTTTCATCACCGGCAGCTGAAGCTCGAGCTCGAGATGCGACTCGTTTCGGTTGAGGAAGAACATCTTCATCCGAATCATCCTCCACATAATCGTCATTTTTGCGCTTACCACGACCCTTTGTGTCAGCAGCGAAAATATCATCTGCGTCTTCATCGGCGTCATCCATGTAGGCGTCTTCATCATCATTGGCTGCGTGGCTAGTATAACTAACAGCCGTTCGCTTTTTCGTAGGTGAGGCGCTCTTGTCGGGGCCGGCTTGGGATTTTGAGGGTAGATTCCTTCCTCGAGGGCTAGATCTGACCGGAACGTCCGTTTTCTTCTCCTCTTTTTTCAGGGAGGAGGTCGTCGATCGTGTGGTGGAAGAATCATTTGTCTTGGTTGAGGCAAAATAATCCTCGGCGGAAATTGATACGCCTGCAGGCTTGCTATCTCTGGGAACTCAAAGTCAGAAACCAAGTGCTTCATTCTGAATGAAATTAACATACCCTGCTTTCTTCTTTGTGGAAGCTTTCGGCTCTGGTCGCTTCTGTCTGCCCATAGTGTTAGCATTATTTTGAAGCGATTTGAACAACTGATGTCGAACGCACTCAGCCTCCTCATCATCGCTCTCATCAATAACTTTTCGGTTTTCTGAACTATGTGAGCAATTGAGCAAGGAATTGGGGGTGTGCATTTCCCACTTGAACGTTTGGTCTCTACCGGCTTCGGCGTAGGTTTTGGGGCGGCACCGCCCTTAGGACCGAAGAAAGATCGAATATCAGGCATTATGAACGGAAATTAAGAAGTATAGAGCGAAAGTGGTATCAGCAAAGCCCACGGCGTTGCATTTTTTCAAGGGAAACCAATTTCACAAGGCGAGCTTGGCGCGTGGCTGCGTATTAAAAGGAATTCTTGTCGAGATGAAGGCAGGCAGCAGCCAGTGAGTGACGTTAAAGACTTGGTTGATTAGCAGGGTGGTGAGACGCGAAGATGACGCGAGATGCGTGACCAGCTTAAGAGGTCAGGTGTACCTTGGTACTTGCCAGCTTGAAGGCAGCAGTCGCAGCACTGTGAAAAGTGGGTAACTTCCCTCCCAGGCAATGGCTGGCCGAGCCAGTCAGGCCTCGATTCGCGCCCCACACCAACGACACCTTGAGAAGAATTTCCAATTGCCAGACAGAGGTCAAGCTATCTGCCTAGAGGTGCCCAATCGACAATTGGCGAACGATGAAGCCCGTCAACATGTCAACACTACTCGGGTCTTTCCAGGCACTGAGCCTCCGAACCTCTACACCTTTGCGCCTGCTCCGGGCCCCCATCCAGGGACAGACACAGCAACTCCAAAATGCCAGGGCTTTCTCGACCACGACTCCGGCCCTCGGCAATTGGCTTGAGCCAAACATCGACAGGAAGAAGAAGATGGCCAAGGGTCGCCCCCGTGTTCCCACCGGGGGCTCGGTCAAAGGCACAACAGTGATCTGGGGCGATTTCGGAATCCGCATGGTCGATCATGATCGCAGAATCAGCGCAAAGCACCTAAAGATGGCCGAAGACACAATCAAGACCCGACTACGTGGAGAGAGATTCCGGCTGTATAAGCGCAAGTGCTGCAATGTTGGAGTCTACGCCAGTGGCAACGATGTGAGGATCAGGACAGGTCAAACTGTGGAATGTCGAGGCTAACCTATTTCTCAAACCAGATGCGTATGGGTAAGGGTAAGGGTTCATTTGATCATTGGGCAACTAGAATGGCTGTGAGCCAAGTTCTGTTTGAGCTCAGAGGAAAAGTCCACGAGCAAGTAGTTCGAGATGCTTTCCGCCTGGCGGGAAACAAGCTGCCAGGTCAGTATAGTCACCAAAGTCCAATATACACCATCACTAACCAATCTTTGCCAGGCCAATGGGAGTTTGTCAAGAAGGGAGATCCACCAGTCGTCGGGATCACGAAGTTGGATGGTGTGACTCTCGAAGAGTTGAAACGCCCAAGAAGGGTGGTACCAACTGAGTTGGCTGGGACTACCACTGAGCCTGAGGTTACAGAAACCCCCTCAAAGGCACCCTGAGCATTGTTCTTCATGGGGAATTTAACCTTGACATACGATTCTTGGGCGCATAATCATGTATTCAATGGGTTCAATTTGACCCAGTGTAACCACTATTACGAAAGAAAGCATCGTCATGTAAATATTTAGACAGGTCTCACAAACAACTGTTTACACTGTAAACCATTTTTAAAGTGTACCAGAGTCTTTTGACAATTTTTCCATTCCAAGATGAATTGGCCACTTGCTTGTAACAATGCAGGCAATATGGCTGTCCAACGCATGTCATGACGGTCGCTGATGTACATTGTACCTTCAGGCAACTCCCGGTGGTCCGTGCACTCACAGAAAGCGACATGCCCGTGCACCTACCACTTAACGCGATCGACGCGTCTTCCAGAATGCTCATCTTTTTGATTTTGACCCATCAGCTTAATTGAATTCACCCATCACCAGAACGCAACTTCAAAATCAACGATCATGGCTCTCATCGTGGATAAGCATCGGCCACGGTCATTGGATACATTGACCTATCACCATGAATTATCAGAACGCCTCAGATCTCTTGTACGCTCTTGCACATCGAGTCAAGCATCACCATTTGCTAACTCAACTGGTTACTAGGCGCAAAGCAGCGATTTCCCACATCTCCTTGTCTACGGCCCGTCTGGGGCAGGGAAGAAGACGAGAATAGTAGCGACTTTGAAGGAGCTATACGGACCTGGTGTGGAAAAGATCAAGATCGACGCCCGTGTTTTCCAGACATCCAGCAACCGCAAACTCGAGTTCAACATTGTCTCATCCATCTACCACATGGAGATAACGCCTTCGGATGTGGGAAACTATGATAGAGTTGTTGTGCAGGATTTATTAAAGGAGGTCGCCCAGACCCAACAGGTGGACCAGTCGGCGAAGCAGCGGTTCAAGGTCGTCGTCATCAACGAAGCCGATCATCTCACACGCGACGCTCAAGCAGCCCTACGTCGCACGATGGAGAAATATTCGCCCAATCTACGATTGATTCTTCTAGCAAACTCGACTGCGAATATCATCGCTCCTATTCGGTCCAGAACGCTGCTGGTAAGAGTAGCAGCGCCAACACACGAACAGATTTGCGACGTTCTCGCTCAATCTGCCAAAAAACAAAACTGGCCAGTTGCAAAGGGCCTTCATCAGCGGATAGCCATTGAAAGTGGTCGCAATCTGCGAAGGGCGCTCCTCATGTATGAAGCCGTCCATGCCCAGAAGTAAGTGAAGTTGATTTTACCATTGCACTCGATGGCCACAAGGGAGCATTCCAAGCTAATCAAATTCCCGATTTCTGCTACGACAGTGAAAAGGTTTCAGACAATACCCCAATTCCACCCGCCGACTGGGAAGCTCTCATTGGCCAAATTGCCAAGGAAATTATCGAAGAGCACACTCCCAACCGTATACTACAAGTCCGCGCCAAACTGTATGATTTGTTAACACACTGCATCCCACCAACAACAATCCTGAAAACTCTCACCTTCAAACTGTTGGCCCTCGTGGACGATGGCCTCAAGGGTGATGTAATTTACTGGTCAGCTTTCTTCGAGCATCGGGTCAAGACGGGCACAAAGGTCATCTTTCATCTCGAGGCCTTCGTTGCCAAGTTCATGAGAATCTTGGAAATGTACCTAATGAGTGTAGATCTATAACCTGTTGCAGGTGGGGAATTTATGGTGTACGGCGTCCGGTCTAGGATTTTTTTTGTTCTGCCTGGCACTTGACTCTTTACATGTATTTTCTCTAAATTGAAAAGCACTTTTCCTACATAGCTAGTTGTCAAGTTCTCAGCTGCCAACTGACCAAAATGGAACAGCTTCTTGCTCATGGTTTCCCTCATTTGCTAGTGACATGCGTTGGCCCTTAGGTGGGGTATAGTGTTAATGCTCAAGTACATCAATAAAGCACCTACTTATTCGGCATCACATGATCTTCGTCTACGCGCTGTAACGCCCACTAGTTTAGAAGACGGCTCTTGAACGGTTATCCCACATACGATCCGAGAGCACGAAATCGTCTCCTGTGCCAGCCTAGTCCGTCCACCATCCCCGCCCAAAGCGCGCCGCACTCTTTGGTGGAGACTCCCTCCATCTGCTCTCTTGGCAGCGGCAAATTGTGCTCTTTGGTTGGCAGTTCACCTAATTGCCGGCTAGAGAGGCTAGCAAGCTCAGCTGTTTCGGGTAATGTGGGCGGATTTCAGATTCTGCCGTTGGTCAGCCCAGTTTCCTTTACTGGATGTCACTGAGCCTCAAAATATACCACGCTACAAGGTTCAGAATATGCAGTTGGTTCTGTGTTGCAGAATCCTCCCCAATGCACACTCTTGGCCGCCCACATGATTTCCTCCAGCCATCAGACATTCCAAACTGTAGCCCAATGATTGCATGAAATGACCCGTAATAATGAAAAGTGTTGGCGCTTAACGATCACCTCTTGCCCATTCAGGGAAGTACCTTGGTTAAGCGACGAATTACGATATGTCGAGCCAACAGCACCGCCAAGAGTCGTACAAAAGCAGGTAGATATACAAACAGCCACCCCCCAATTTCAATCTTGATGTCAAATACCATTCAACACACAAGTGAGCAGCGTCCTTATGATTTCCAAATATCTCCCAACATGACACACCGACGTCAAGAGACGGAGCTTCCACTCTTACACAACGGAGGCCGACAAGACAGACGAGACCGGCAAAGGCAAAGGAGGATAGCCAGCTCTAGGCGTCTCCCAGCCCAAACTACACAGAACTTCGCCGACAATGATATGGACCATTCCAGGACGACCCCTATGTCTGTTGACCGCGATCAAGAAGGCAGTGTGCTCGATGGCTATGCCACTGAGACATCTTCTTCAACACAAACCATGGTCATCCCCAATACGAGGCCACATGATGCCAGCGACAACACTAGGTCGAAAATTCTACGTGCCAAGGAAGCCCGCATACACATAGAGGAGGACGGAAGCGAGAAATGGCATCCGTTTTGGTTGCACCCGGCCGTGCTGGGGTTGTTTCTTGCCTTCTTCCTAGGCTGTGCTGTGGCACTGCCAGTGCTATTATCAATATCCAACCGAAACGATGGGTTGCTGGAAGCTCAGGTAGATCTTGAGCAATTGTGGAGGTTTGGTCCAACTGCTGGTATGTACTATCTCATTTATTAGGCACCAATCAGACGGATGGACTCAACATTCTTTTGGCAGTGTTCACTATCGTTACCATCTTCTGGAGCAGAGTGGAATTGCAGACTCTGAGATATTTCCCGTGGGTGAAGGTTCAGAATTCGAACGACACCAGCGTCTACGAGTTAGACTACACCTCGAAGATATCGCTCACCGTTTTGCTGCAATCCCTTCGCAACAAACACTTCTTAGTATTCATTATCACACTCACCACTCTGCTGCTCAAAGTCCAAGTTGTTCTTATCCCCAGTTTATTCTCTCTGAGGACTGTTCAGGTGTCCAGACCTGTTGTTATACAGACCTCGGATTTTTTTGATACAAATTTTACATATCGTATTTCATCATCGGAGAACTCAATTGGCTATTACAACTTCAAAGCAATCCAGGACTTCGGTACGGGAATTCCCTTTGGGGTTGGCAATAACTCGATATACCAGACCTTTGCCCAAGCAAATTCCGAAAAGGATGCTCGTGGAACCGTCGACTCGCCTCTTACCGCCCGTGTGGATGGATTATTCTTTGATGTCGAGTGTCGAGAACTGGAGAGTTGTACCACAATTCTCAAAGAAAATCAACCCAAACCCTTCTCTAAGGATCAATATGTCGCATGGTTACAAATCGATCTCAAATTTGAAGGCTGCCCGCAGGCAGCCCTTCTCAACATATCCCAGGATTTTTACGGTGTCAACAACAGATTAGAGCCATGGAGTACTGAAATCTTGAAGACGACGAACAGTCCAATTAATTGCTCAGCGCTGCCTAGTCAATTCCCTCAATTTATCAATCTTGCAGCAAGATGGCTACCTTCATCAAAAAACGCAACACTTCCCGTCCAAGATGCTTGCGCTGCAGTGATTTGCTCACCCACGGCCTGGGTATCTGAAGTGGAAGTTCTGGACGACGGCAATCATCCCATAATGACCGTTTTGCCAGATCAAACTAAGACTCCTATGCACGTCAACCCTTATCCACTCTTCGAATCTTCGGTTCCAAACGGTCTTGGTGGTAGTAGTAATAGCGAGTCTCGCTATTCAGCACTCGAGGTGAACACTTATTTACTCAATTCCACCAACCTGAAGGCCAATTACCCGGACGGGATCCCTCGTTCGCTATATTCAAACCAGATACTTCACGAATCTGTGTTGAACTTCACACAAATGCTAGGCCCCCTTGTGGCACACCATCAACTTCGAAATAAAACTGAGCAGCTTCTCAATAAAACCGAGAGTCAGAAGACCGGGTCAAGACCGTTTGACACTACTCGACTCCAGCTCAATTATCCAGTCTGCATCAGCTTGGCTGTGATTTCAGCTCTCTCAGCATTCATTTCCCTTTGGGCTATGCTTCAATACAGAGGAGCATTCAGGAACTGGGACAAGAATCCAGCTACGATCATTGGATTAATAAATTTCCTTCATGGACAAAGATTTGATCACACAGCGACCAAGCCCAGGCTATGGAATCAATTTCAAGGGTCCCCTCTACCTCTCCCAACCTGGCTAAGGCTTATATTCACAATATATGCTCTAGGCTTAATCATTACCCTTACTATTATGCTTCAGATTTCTCATAAATCCGATGGGATAGTCACACTCATAGAAGGAACCCCATCACTTTGGTGGACTGTAGTTCCCACTTTGAGCATATATCTTGTCACACTTTATACTACATCATCGGACACCGTGGTTCGCGATCTCGCTGTTTATTCTCAGCTTAGTCTACGATCCTGTACGATGGCGGAGATGAATGTTTCACTACTGGACATGCTTGGTCTTAGAGCATTGTACTATTCGCTGAGATGGAAGATATACACCGTCACGCTTTCACAACTTTTAGCTATCGCTTGCGGCTTCTTAGCGTCATTTTCATCTCTCCTATTCACTTCAAAACTTATCCCCGGAAACTCTGATATCAGCCTTAAGCAACAGAGTTGGTTTGGTAATCGAACTCTAGCCCAGGCAAGTGAACCAGGGAAGTTGAGTGATTACGAGATAGCGAGATACGCTCTTGGTGGACTCATTATCTCGCCGAAAAGTTCCCAGTTCACCTGGCCTTCGTTCACGTACCAGAATCTCCTCTTTCCACGTCTAGAGATGGATGGCACCAGCAAAGACTGGAACTCGAGCGTGAGCTTTGAACTTGAGGTACCGGCTATCCAACTGATATCGGACTGCGCACAGCTTCCTCAAAGCGCTCTTCATCTCGAAAAACAACGCTATTACAGCCAATGGGAGATGACCATCAATATGACTCGCACTTGCCCCAATGGTACCATAGTCGACGTTATAGGTTACCACTACCCGAATTATAACACGTACACGTTTTCGGAAATCTACGCTAGGACGGAACCATGTCCTTCCCAATATTGGATGGAAAAGACATGGATATGGGGTCAGGTTTTCGAAAATGGCACTTACAGTCATCCTTCCATGTGGAGTTGTAACTATACTTGGGCAGAGATTCCGACGAAATTGCAACTGATATGGACCACAGACGGTTTTCAGGTCGACCATGCGAACCCTCCACAGCCAGACTACTCGAAAACTAAACTATTAGAGCCGTCATTCCCAATTGATACGCAAACTTTCGATCGCTTTGATAAGTTGTGGCCAAAACCAGACCTTGGGTTTGCGGTAGGAGTTGCTGAGACACCGGAGTCCGTTGATGCACGATTCAATTACCTCTTTGAGCCTGTTGGCTCTTTGAAACTGGAAAACATCATCAACCCGGATGACGCCCATAAAACCATTGAGGCTTTGAACTCCGGTATCAGCTTAGTTTCCGGTCAGATAGCAAATGCTTTGAGGCGACTTGATATCAATGAGGCATCAACAACGTCTCCGGAGCACCCTGGAGAGTTGCCCCCCATCACCGCAAGAGTAACGGATAAAAGACGGCACCGACTCGTCCAGGATGCGGTAATAACTTATTTGATAATTGGGGTTATATCATTGGCCTTTGTCGTTAACACTTGGGCCTTGCTCTCATCTGGGCTAAAGCGCTTCATCGGCTACAGAGGCAAATGGTTGCTGGACTTGGAGATGAAGGACTTGGTGCCGCCAGACTATAACAGTATTGCCGTGTCCGCTTCTCTTCTTTCTCCTTCCAACTATCCGAAATATGTGGGCTCCTTGGAGGAATTTTACACGAGATTGTCGGGTCTACGCTTCCGGATGGGGTGGTTTATCAGAAAGGGGGCCCAGGAGAGGGAGCTGACAATTGGCGTTCTGGATGATCCAGAGTTTCTGTTCTTGGGGGGTAAACAATCAAGCAAATAAATCCTCGATCGATGATCGTTGGCCACTCTTTTTATTACCTTACATTTGTAAATACTTACGTAGATTGTGTAAATACTTATCAACTATAGAGTACAAACATCATATAAAATTACCTCATTGGTGTGCCTCAAAAACGAAGACTTAGCCAAGCTAAAGCTACCTAAGGTAGGCAAAGGTCAGGAGTAGTTAGGTTCCTCCTAAGTCTGCTATCACTGCTGCTTTAGATCTCCTAGGACCATTTTCAGACTCAAATATTGACCATGCCTTGCTATATCTAACCCTAGTAAATCATCTAGTAATTGGTAAATTTAGAGGCTGTTTGCACCAAAGGAGGTTGCTTGTCATCACTCGGGCATCACGCTTTTTAGGTGGGACGGTCAGTAGATAAATATATATATTTCATGTTAACAATTAAATATTCAGGTTCTGCAACTCAATTGCCGATGACTCGACATTTAAGGAGAAGTGTTTATCACTTGCTTAAAACCACAACATGCAATATGACTGTCGAGATATAGTAGGTCTAGGGTATTCTAGTAAGGCGGGCGACATTGTTGGGTGCGCTTACGAGGTATATAGAAAGTAAAAGCTGCGTGTTTGTCATCAGCGCCTCACTACAGCGGCTGCCCACAGCCGATCCGCCCACTCATAATGGGTTAGGAAGTCTTCCGTAGTATAGTGGTCAGTATGCAAGCTTGTCACGCTTGAGACCCGGGTTCAATTCCCGGCGGGAGAGACCGCCACACAACTTCAGTTGTGATTCTTTTTTTTGGTCCTTGGGATAAATTTCAATAGAAAATCTCTCTCCGTCGTTTCTTGCTATGCACAACGTCTGAAGAGTTCTGGTCATCGGAGCCTCTTGCTTAGAACACGATGCCTTATGGAGTGTGCCAAGGAGTGACATGTACTACCCAGGAGGAAATCGGTGGATCAGTCGATAAACACCGCCGTCGTGGCCGTTTGTTTACCCCTGCCATATGCATGGACCTGCACATGCGGCCTCCGATGGTACGAACCAACCACGATCAACCATGTGTTGGTGGGGTTGGGCCGCATATTTGGTCACCCTGATTTGTTCCTCTATTAGTGGTGGGAGGGAGACGCAACGAGCTTCAGTTTAAATGAGCATACACCAAGAATCGAAATACTTGCTAACAAATAATGCACTGAGTTTAATGAGCATTGCGCAAGCCTTGTACGCAATTCGGAATCTTATGTGGCAGGGATATACGTTTTGGCGTGCTGACATCCTGCTGTCGCTGACCTGCATGGTACCTTAGTAAGGTGGTAATAATCGATTCACAAAACCTTTCAGCTTGATGAGTCCTTTCCATGCCACGATCCCACCGTGGCGATCAGTGCCCAGACAGATTAGCATGGTGAGGGACAAGCTTTTCGTTTGAAACCACCTCATCCAATCGACAGTTGCTAAAAGTTACGGCAACGGTACTAATGATACCAGACGTGCTGGCCAGGCCACAAAAAAAATCGAGCTCGAGAATTGACGTGGCCACGGGAGGTAAGGTAATTTCGGTTCACGTTTCACCATATGCCACTAGCCAATTCCACCTCGGAAAATGGCGCCAATACTGAGTCGGGTTCCGATTTGCTAAGATGTGGCTACTGATCGGAAAGCTAAGCCAGGCACACAAAGATAAACATCGCACTAAAAGGAGAATCGTTGGCAATGATGAACGCAAGGGGATATCTATTATTCTTCCAGAAGCTGAAATAAATAGAATTATTGAGACCTTTGCTCTTAAGATGGTTGATTACCTCCTGGTGGGCGCGGGAAAGGATTCGCAATGGGCACCGGGGAGTAATTTAAAGAGCTTTACTAATGAGATCAGATGTCGGTACATGCCTGGAAGCAGGCAGGCAGGTGGTAGCCATGCATAGTGTGTAGCAGGTGCGTAGTAATACACCTCACCCAGAAGGTAGGCGAGGGGACGAAAAACATCCTGGTGAGAGGCACGAGGCGGCCAGGATCTTGCGATAGACTCCCTAGAAGCGCGGAAATTGCCTAAGATTTCCCCAGGTAGCCGAATATTAGCTGTGGCCATGAATAGACAGACTTTTTCTTGGCTGGGCATCCTGTGCCGTTATTAATTCAGAAAGGGTAGGTGGAGGATGAGCTGCTGCAGTGAGCACACATCAGACGGCAGGGACCTGAGGCGAGGTATCTGGTGCCTATCCTGGCCGCGAAAAGGAAACTTGTACACCAAGTACCTGACAATTAATGCCGAGCTGGTCATAACACGACTGCGAAGTGGGAAATTTGCAACCGCCGACGAGCAAGCTGGCAGTGACCGCGGACGATTCTTTCTTTCCTTTGAGTCTGTACCTGCAGAGGGGATGGTGGGGTGGGGCTTGCGGTCGGGCCAGTGAGAAGGTGCCCCGATGTTTCAGTCGGATGACCGTCAGGTACGGAATGGCACTAACAGGGCTGCTGACCGGTTCATTGGTAGCGGTTGGGGGCTGGAGCTTCGGGTAGGCAGGTTTTGATCCCATCTGGTATCTTCCTTTCTTCTTCCTTTTGCAGCCAGGGGGCCGGTGCGTAACTTCTAACAACTAGCCCGCCCCCTCGCTGGTCACCTCTCTAATCAGGGAGGGTTCCATCCAGGAATACGTGCGAGCTACCAGCAGCTTTGCCCACAAGGGCCTGCTGGGCCACGTATCGCGGATGTTGCCAAACCGCCACCAGCTGGGCATCCAGACCTGGCCGACACGTAACCGACTAATGTTTGGCGGACTTTCTTTCTCGGGCCCATAAATGTGCTCACTAGCCATTCGGCGTCAACGCATCCAGATGCTGACGCTCAAGAACTTCGGCGGCAGCTCACACAAGCTACTACTCTTCATTTCCCTCTGGTGCTGAGCTGGGCCGCCTTGGACCGGCATCAGCATAAATAGACACTTCTGCTTGGGGAGATGAGCCAACTGCCCTATCCATCATGCCTCTCTAGGGTCTGGCCCGGTTGCGCACATGGCTGTTGTGATGGCACCGGGCAGTATTACGACATCTAGACCCAGGAGGGACAGGCCCTTTCTTGGCCTTGGACTAGGAGACGAATCCCTGCTTCAGTCTGAGTAGTCTGCAAGCCATGCCCTCTGCCCCTGTTAGAAATGGACACTTTTGGTTAGACAAAGGACGGCTTGCTGCCAGGGGCACGTCTTGAGACCCTGGCGTCGTGCCCGAGCCCCGGTATCCGTGAATAGATCCAGGCACACACCATGATGCATGGCCTGAGTCCCACTCAGTCTGGTCTTCCAGCTGTGGTGTGGTCCTGATACGATGCCACCAGCAGGAAGAGGCCCGCAGCAAGAGCTTTCTCTCTTTGCTTTGCCCTCCTGTCTCTGGCTTCATAAGTCTCAGACCCCCGTCAATCCCCCATGAGGATTACCTCTCTCTATAAACCCATACACTCCCTTGGTTCTGCCCGACGTTTATACCGTCACCCACGTTCTTTCGGCTGCGCCGTCCTTGAAACCGTTAAGCTCAAGCATTGCTCCGCTGCTTCACGCAAGGACCACACATTCGGCCTTCATTTTACAGTAAAGATCCCTCATCCTTGTCGACAGGTCGCAAGGTTTATCCAGTTGTACCAATCCTTCATTCATTCAAGAACCCCCAATTATCCGCTTCCCTTCCCAGTTCACATTCACAGCAACTTCAATTTCTGGTCCTCGTCCTCAATCAAACCACCAAGATGATTGGCAAGCAAATCGTTGCTCTTACTCTGCTCTCCGCCATGGCGGATCAGACTCTGGCTGCTCCTGGTCACCAGCATCGCCAGCTCCATGCTGTCGAGAAGAAGCGAGCATTGGAGGTCGAAGTCGTCACCGAAATCGTCACCGTCACGGTAACCTACGGCGCGGAACCAACCGGGGACAACAAGGGCGGAATCTTCGTTTCCGTCCCTGACACCACCTCGACTTCCGTCGCCGCTGCCCCAACTGTCGAAAAGCAGGTTGACAACCAGAAGTCTGCTTCCTCCAGCAGCTCCGCTCAGGTTCAGGAGGACGCCAAGCAGCCCTCCACCTCTACCTCAACCTCCACTGCTGCTGTCACCACCACTGCTCAGCCTACTACTACTGCCGAGCCCACAACTACCGCCCAGCCCACCACCACGGCTGTGCCATCCTCTTCTTCGACCAGTTCCGCAGCACCTGCAAGTTCTTCATCTTCCGGAACCTCACCCACCACTCCTACCATCGGCTCAAAGCGTGGTCTTGGTTACAACGATGCCACTATGTTGTCAAAGGTCCTGAGCGACACCACAAAGAAGTACTCATTTGGCTGGACTTACAACTGGGAGACACAGCCAAAGGGCGGTCCTTCTGATACCTACATCCCCACCTACAAGTCTAACTTGGGCGACTGGCCACAGTGGTTTGACGACCAAGCCCCAGGTTCCATTAGCTCCAGCAATAACAAAGTCGCTTTCTCCCTGAATGAGCCTGATAACGCAGCCCAGGGCCTCGTCGCGCCTGCGTTAGCTGCCACACTTCAGGCCACCCACTTGGGGCCCATTCGGAAGGCGGGTGCTTCAATTAGCGCTCCTTCGGTTACCAACGGTCAGGGTGACCTCCAAGGTCTTAACTGGCTCCAGGCTTTCGTTACCGCTTGCAAGGATACCGACGGGTGCGAGTACGACTTCTGCAACCTCCACTGGTACGATTACCAGAGCGCACAGGACACTATCTACTCCAACCTTAAGAAGGCCCACGAGATCTGTGGCGCACCTGTTTGGTTGACTGAATTCGCCCCTCTTGACGGAACTGATGATTCAGTTGCGGAGTTCGTCGAGGAGGTGACTGGCAAGCTCGACGCTATTGATTACGTTCCTGCTTACGCTTTCTTCATGGCTGGCAATGGCTATCAAGAACAGTTCAGAATGTTCGATTCCTCTGGCGCCCTTAACAATATTGGCAAGGCCTATGCTGGCATCCAATGGACAAAGTCGTCATGATTGGCAGGGCACTCGCGTTCTGAAGTTGCACCGGAGGCAATCATCGGACCTGAATTAATTGGTCCGTCTTGCCTGGATACGGTGGAAAAGATTTTGGGTTAATTTATACTGTGGCGTCGGGATTTTTTTGAATATTCCTTTGTATATACTTTTGGCATCTTGCATGTCTTACAAATGATACCTAGAACAAAGGCTTATTTTCGCCTCTCTGACGCTACCTGGCTACCGTGTATATCCCCAAGTTGAACATGCTTCTCGATTGATTGATGTTCTGGTGATGTAAGTGTGATAGGCAATCTTGCGTGTCGCTGAGATTATCTCTACTGATTGGGCTGGCAGAGAAATGCGGCCAAGGACTTCTGGACTAGCGATACACTATGACCTACTAGCGATGGCTATGAATATCCCCTGGACACTCGATGGTGTCTTATCTGTCTTGTTCTATTGTTTCGCCCTGCCGTTGATTACTCGCCAAGCCGCCAAACTTCAACGATTGGGGGAATGAATAATTGGTGAAATTGGCTGGCGCTCGAGATATGCGGGAGGCCTCGTCAGAGGTCTTGCAAAGTATTCCACCTGGTATCATGCATGTAAGGCGACTTCCATTCGGTGGAAATGATATCATGGTAGGTCATCAATTTATTAATGGGCATATCTTCTTATCACTCGTTAGACCAGACCGACACATTTCAATAGTGTATCTATTGTACCAACATCCCATCCGCATATGTACAAGTTATCATCCATAGCCCAGCTAGCGATAACGAGATGGGACGAAATGGTAAACCAACCAAAAATAAAAAAGAGCATGGAGCACGTCCACGAACCAACCAACAAGATTAGATCGGACGATGGAGCGTCGTCGAGATCTGCCAAGGGGGAAAAAGCACACGAACCAACAAAGAAACAGGGCAGGGAACAGGGAGCTCTGCCCATCACCCGCGCGCCGGTCCCCAACTCTAAAAGTCCCAATGCCGATCGCTGTTAAACACCCTTGAAACACATCTGTCGACCAACGGCTTCCGATCGACCAACACAAATCTCTTTGTTGGCTTGGCACCGATAAACTCCCCCACACGAGAGGATCAGCGTTGGCTCTGGGGTGAACCTCCGCTGATCCTCGTCTGCGGTTTGGAGAACCCATCTCCTGCTCCTCCCCTGACCATCGTCGTCCGCGGAGAAGAGTGCTGGTAGCAGCGGTCGCACATGGATATGCTCCCGCCGCTACTAGGAGGTTTGCCGGGCCTGCTCTCGCGCTTGATGGTGGTGGTGACGACGACGGTGCCCTTGGGATTGGCGGCCTTGGAGAGCACGGCGTCGGCCTGGCTGCAGGACTCGTCGTCGAAGTCGTCGTCGAGGAGGTCCGAGTGGCGGCGGTGGTGGCTGGCCGACCTGGCTGCCGTGACGAGGGCGATCTCGTCCGTGGTGGTCGACGAGGAGGGCGGGGGCTCGGTGTCGGAGCCGCTCTGGCCGTTGTGCCTCCGGGGAGGGGTGCCGCCGGTCTCGGGGCAGCAGCCGTTGCCGGCGCCGCCGTGGGAGGAGAGGCTGCTTGAGGTGCCGGCGTTGTCCTTGGACGTGACCCAGTGGATGACGGCAGCTGAGAAGAGCACTGCGAGAGAGGACTGGTTAGCCCGGCCGCTTACTTGCTTCCAGTTGGTGAATGGGGGGGATTGGTAGGCCCATCTAGAGAAATCCACGTGGCTGGAATTGGGGGGTGGGAAGGTTTGGGACAAGGTTTAGACTTACCGTCACAGTTGCAGCACATGAGGCACACCCACCCTGGCTCTCCGTTTAACGCCATCAGAACGGTAAGGTTTCTGTTAGGAAGGGATTGTTAGTTTATGACTCGAGATCAGGAAGGGTATGTCCGAGGAGAAACCAGTCCGTAGGGGATACTTACGTGACGCTGCTGATGAGAGTGCAGAGCGCTCCGATGAACGTTCTGAGGGCGACATTTTGGAGGTGATCATTTGCTTGGGTTCGTGCCATCTTCCTGAACTTGTAGATTTCTATTATCTCACGTTAGTTGGGGCCGGTACTCGGGCGGTCAGCTGTCTGAGTAGTACTCACTCCTTAGCGGAACGAGGAACAGGAGGGTCAGGTAGGTGTTGGCAAGGGAGTCGAATGTGATGAGCGGTATAATACCGACACCTTCCATTCCGATAAAGCATTGCCCTTTTTCCATTCGTACGATTCGGCTGGCAAGTGATGGTCAGCCATGTCCACTCGTGAAGTTCGGCCAAGTCTGGCCATTGAAACCACATACTAGATGAAATTTAATACAATAACAATCATGAAGATGCTCATGACCCCGAAAGAGTTGAACAAGTATAGCTTGGACTTTAAGCGCTTCTTCGTCGTACCGCGGATAATATGCTACAAGTTTGATGTCAGTTTGAAGCAATGCAGCATAGACACAGGGGTCACTCACGGCTTTCTCCACCAGGAAGAGATAAATTAACTGTACTCATCAGTATTGCAGATCTCGAAATAAACTTGATGATGTCTTACAAGCTACGGAGGTGACTGTTAGTCCGCATTCATTATGCTCGGAGTGAATTGGCCTGATTGCTTCAACATACCTTGGTTGTGACATAGCAGGCAAGGCAAAGTAGAATGGCTCCCTCGCACAGTTGTTTACTGTAATTGACTCCAAAAGCATGTTGTAACAACGCTGTTGTAAAGACGAATAGATATGAATCGATGTTGATAGCGAACACAACTATTGGCGTTGTTAGTTATAGCAGAGGATATCACAAGGAAGACACTCACGCCAAACGATGTAAGGAAGTCTCGCCCAGACCTTGATAGCTAGTGTTCTTTGCGCTGGAAGGATAAATGTTAGCTTCAACAGCAAGCTAGAGCATTAAGATGAGGTCGCCTTGCGTACTGATGAACGAGGTGATGGCAGTGAGGGCAACCATCGTAATGAGAACACTCATTACTTGGCCAGGAACAGGTACTAGGACCTGGGCGGTGCGGGTCAATAACATGGGAGCCATTGTGATCTGCACCGTATCCTCTCGAGGCTGGCTTGAGGATTCTCTTGGATGAAGGTAGATTAAAGGGCTGGCATTGACACCATATCCCTTCTTGGTGTCTCTCCTTGACTGGAAAAAATTGGCTAAGCAAATTGGGAGAAGAATGTCACCACTCCCAATACAGACCCGGGAGAGAAGTAGGTCTCGCCGATAGCACCAGCAAGACCGATACCAGTATACCTGATACTGATACTGCAAGATTGGAGAAGATTCGTGAGCGAGTATGCGGACTGTTTCCTGGTATGAAACGACCCGTCGATGGTACTGAGCGTGGTAATTGTAGGAATAGCCGGACTTGCGGTAGAAGGATGAGGATTATCGTTCGTCTATGACCTTTATGTTCCGTTTGTCTATCTTTCGATTACGCTGGGGTATTGGAAGAAAAATACAACATTGACAGTAGTAGGAAGAGATCATTGCGGAAGAGCGAGAAGGTGGCGTGCGCCTTTCTTTCTCTATATAGTCTAACTACCTTCTCTCACCTTCCCACTCGATTGGAACGAACGGAGAATTAATGAGCCCACCGTCTCAGTACCTCATCCATCTTCCCGACTTCAGCCCAGCGGAGACAGACAAGACGCAGTGGCGGAAATGCGAGACCGTGAGTCGAGCTAAGCTGCGCGATCCCCAAGCCACACTATTGCCTTCGGGTCACAAGCTGGCCAACGAGTGACCGTTCTGCGACTAAGACATGAGCTCATCAGAGACATACATACATTGTACACGGCCCCGACTTTTCTCGCCTTGCCCCTGTGGCCCATTGCCTGGGCCCTCGCTCAGGCCTCTCTCTCTCCTCCCCCGCACCATGCACCCTCCAGAGGCTCTAGCTGGCCTTAGTCGATGGAACCAGAGTCTGCTTCATCGGCAACTAACGAGGAGTAGGTTGGTGATGACGGATGTGGTGATGGCGTCCAGCACATTCTATCCAGCACAAATCTGACTTGGGCATGGCAAGGTGAGGGTAGGGTAGAACCGAAAGGGCAAGGACAGACACGGAGCTCCCGTCTGGTCGGTGTCGATCTACACGTGTGAATATCTAGGTTTATTTCTCTTCTGCGGGCGGTGGTGTGTATATGAGATTGCCTTGGCACGGGACATGAGACAGATAGACTTCTTCCATGCCACACCATCCCCATTCATCTCATCTCATCTCAAGTAAACAGATAAGCGAATGGCTGGGCCTTGTGCCCTATCATATTTTCCCTTTTTGTTTCTTTTCCTTCTTCTCGTATTGCTTAGCCTGCAGACAGATGAGCCCAGGCCTCGAGTCTCGACTCCCGAGTCCCAGGACGTACAATGGGTCCGAGTCTTGAAGGCGTCTGACGAATCACTTTTCTCATCAGCTAGGAGCTCGCCATCGCCCAAATATTGCTTTTTGCTTGCGACACCTCATGTCTTGGCCTCTTTTTTCTTTTCTTTTGCAATTGTCCGCTAGCGAGATGGATTCATCTGGCCACATCATTGTTTCTGCCTATCTACAAAACAAGAAACAAGGAGATAATATCAGACATGCATGAAGCTGCATGCATGCGGGCGTGTACACAGAGATGCGGACTGCATCTCGTCCCGACAACGTCCGCTGTGCTCCCGACGAGAAGAGACGAAAACCACGATCGACCAAGTTCTTTTCTTCCCCTTCCCACAGGCTCTCCAAACTGTAATATGAGCCTGATCGGCGGCGACGGTTCCCTTTATTTTAGTCCAACCCGATTGATCTCCACGCCACACACACACTCATTATTAGATTTACCCTGTTTATGTGCGACTTGTGCAAATCTTGGATCTATCGCCAAATCTTGATCCGGAGCTTGCCTTCCCACCCCCTGCCCACCCTTTACAAAAACGACCACCCACAGGTTATGATGCATGTGGCCCAATGTACCTGCTTAGTAGCACCACCCATATTCTACAGATACGCGTGAGTTGCCCAGATCGAGGGCATCTATGGAGTAAATAGGTTTAGCTACCGACCCTACGGTTCCAGTAGCGCAGCGGGAAGGGAGGGTCGCTTGACTTGTGCGTAAGCGATCTTGGGGAGAGAGCTGGGAGAAGAAGGCCAAGCCCAGAACAGGATCAAAAATCCAATCTCGACTCGAAAAAAGCAAAGGTCGATGCCTCCCGAACTCCTGGAGGCTGTGATTGGTGCAGAACGAGCCAAGCCAAGGACGAAGGATTGAAGCCAAGAGCGTGACGAGAGGTCTCCCGAATTGCAAATACATTTGTACCACACAATAAACTGAGGAGAATAGTACTACCCATATTAGGCCGTGGGGCCGATGATGGGGAAGCGCCTCTCAGACTTGGACTCGACGATCCCCCAGGCGGCCTCCAGTTCCCCTCCACAGCGAGGCTGGAAAATGCCATCCACCGGGAGACGAGCTGAATCGGCAAACTCGATAGATCGAGCGCCATGTCCTCCTGCTCGGAACCCGCCAATACGAACGAATAACCTGTTTAATCATCAGAGAGAGGGAGGGAGGAGCGCGTATTCCTCGTTCAGACGCTCAGGCAGCGGAAGAACAGACGGGCGTCGATGCGGCTGGCTGACTCGTGCCTGATGTGCTCGAACGACAGCCGTGGTGCATCTTCGAAAAATGCCTCTTGTTGGAAGGCCACTAGATCTGCACTGCCTGCGCTCTTCGCCACATCTCGAATGGAGAGACAGCCCTCATCTGCCGGTAGCTCGATACCATTGCCAATAAATCTGGCTAAGAGTACCGCGATCTGCACATTTAGCTTCGTCATGATGCATATCTCTATAGGCAAAGCAGAAGCCTATCTGATCATTCAAGCCCAATGGCCCACAGTTTCCCCGGATCTTGCTTCACCAATCAGACTGCTACGGGCTTTTACGGACTTTGAAGCACTTGGGCGGTGATGCCCGACCCTAAGGTAGTAAGTATCAGAGAGGCAGAGACCACATGTTCGAAAGAGTAGTTCATTGAGTCTTCGAGATCTATCATGTGCGACCAACCGAAGCTACATTTCCTCTTTCCCTCTCAATTGTCCGCGAGTCGGTCGTTAATTGGTATATGTTTCATCCTGCCCAGTCTCATCCCATTCCGTACCCACCGTCAGTGATGTGTTGTGCTTCAACCGACTACCAAAAACGCCTTGCAATGCTTTTAAATCTCACATCTATGGGCCCCAAGGTTGCCATAGTCAACTGATCCCAACGCCTTTATCAATTTGTGATGAAAAAAATGTCTTCCCCCGTTCGTTGCTTCGCCGCCAGCAGTATGCGGTGCCAAAATATGATTATGAAATATAGGAGTATCATCGTAGACACCCTTAGGGTATAAGTAGTTGTAGATCGGCGGCCTAATTCCTGCCATTTCCCACACGGCTCGCTCAGGAGCTCCGTCCCAGTGCCGACTGGGACTTCGTCAAAATACGGAACTTCTCCCTGAGCTTGTCAGCAAAGGGGGTCCCTTGGTGGCGCTGCTCCTCTTCGGCTGGCTGACTCTCTTGGAGCTCTGAAGCCGTACTTTCGCGAGTGATTCTGTCCTCCCGAAGTTGCCTTAGAGCCTCCATCTGCTCTTCGGCCGTTGCCTGTCGAAGCCTGTTGACGTCAAACAGTCTGGATACTCGGTTGCGGTACGAGCTCTGAACGGCATCGTGTTCGCCCCCTTCCCATGCCAACGGAGGTGGCAACGTCATGCTGCCTTCGATTTCGTGACCATCTTGGGATTCGTGATGTCCTGGGCGAAGATCAAGGCGGCTATATCACTTCAGGGTCAGCCATGTGCCGGCGACATATCAGAAAATTTGGCCTTGTAAACTTACCATAGTGGGCATGTCCCAGAGATATTAATCAGCCAGGGATCAATACAATTCGGGTGGAATTGGTGGTTGCAGGGGAGGACCCTAACATCCTCACCAACTCTGAAATCTTCAGTGCAGATAGAGCACCCCATGTCAGCTTCCGAGGACACGTCGCTATCGGTCCAGACGTCTGACGGGCGCCGTACGCTCTCGGTCCCATCAACTGCTTGGCCGGATTTGAGCTCGCTCGTGTGTGACATGGCGCGGTTGGCAGGTGTCTCGTGACCATCTGTGGTTGCAGTCTCCATTTCAAGATCGGGATCAGGCTTTGATGGACGCTTGCCTCCGAACTTGACGATGGGTATGGTTTCCAAGACAGCCTTGGCCAGTCCCTTTGCTCGGCTCTGGGATGGCCGATCCCCATCTGCTCGCCTGGGGCCGTATCGCTCTGGATAACGATGAGCTCTTACGGCTCCCGTAACGATGATGAGAAGGAACAGGAGAGTGATGAGCCCTGTTATGCTATATAAAATGCTCATTGCGACCTGCGACTTCTTCCCACCCGCGTGGTCCGGGGGCACAGGCTTGGTCATGTCCGTGGTGTTTCCATAGATGGAAACCCTGACAGGTGGCGCTGAAGCCGTCTCGTTGATATGAGAAAGGACAGCAGTAGCTTCGGCAGGGTCGACCATGGAGAGGATGCTCGGATAAGGTAGATCTCTGGTGTTATCGAGAAAACACCAGTTCTTACTAGTAGTGTACAGGACGATGGCTCTAGGAGCGGCATTCATCAAGACATCAAGCATGGCCAACGGCAAGGGCTTTGAAGAGTCGTCGGGCTTGTCGCAAGACATGTAGGCAACGTCGTCTGGGTCCGTGATGTTCATGTAGGTGGAACTCTTGGCTGATTTGAAGGTGCCATTGAATTGAACAATCTGATAGTGGTTAGCTGGGCCGAGTCTTTTGGCGAATACCATAGTGCCAAAGACACCCTCTCTCGTACCTGGCGCGAAATACTGTTACTGCCCAGACCCAAGCCTTCAGTCAGCGGAATGACGGCATAGTTAGTAGAGTCCGTCGTCAACTTCATCTGGAGCGTGCTCTCGAGTGCCCATGGCGGGAGGTCGTCTTCGGCCGTGAGTCGTACATCGCGAATATCTGCTGTGACGACGTTGGCGTAGAGCAGGAGTGCGATACTCGCTCGTGTCAAGGTGGAGAGTGCCAACATCTTGAAGAACCGGATTCGGGACTCCGGATATCAAAGTTGGCGGCCTCCGAGAGGGCGGTTCAAGATCCACCGGACGGACACACTCGACGAGGCTCGCGAGGCTCAAACTGGGTTCGCGAAAGAGGCAGATATTATCTAGGCAGCTGGGCTAGAGTCCCACATCGCCAGGCGCAACATAGGATACGTGGGCGAGTGAGCCCAGGGATCCCCGCCGTGGCCAAGATTGGTTGCGCGAACAAGTTATAGGACACGGAGGGAGCGTAGGTCGGGCAATTCTGGTCGGCTTGGTGCGGCGACGGGCGGCTGGAGGGGTGCGATTGCGGTGCTTTCGAGGGAGAGAGACGACGGTGATCTGAGATGGTGTAGAGTAGGAACGATCATTCCTCAGTAGGCGATGTAGGGATATACTTGTGGAAACCGGGCATCCAGCATCCAAAATGCTGGGCGAACGGAATCAGCAGCTGGCTGGTGGTTCGCTACAGCACTACGCGCGCTACAGGCGTACGGCCAAGTCGCTAAAGGCAGATGACCTGCTGTAGCACGCTGGGCAGACGCTACTCAGCGCTGTCCAGCAGCCTATTAGCGGCCCCGCCAAGACTGCCCAGGCGGCCTCTCTCTCCACCGGCTGTGACGATGTTTGATTAACGAGCGCTGTCCCCAGTCAGTTGTCCCTCCCGTCCTGTTTCGTCAATCAAGAATGGATCAAACCGTTTATGCTTAAATTGAGGGGGCTCGAAACGGCCCTGATAAGGCCGCGTGCCTCTGCTTCTAAGGCAATGCAGCTCTCCGAATCGTCTATTTCATGTTTCCCCAGGCTCCTCGCCAGCACATGAGGTGATGGTCTACGAGGGTCGAGATCCCCTTAAAGCCTGGGCATTGTCTCGGCGGTGTCTGGGCATTGGCTCGGCACTCCAATCAGTGGATGCTAACTTGTCTATCACTTCCCCCCCACCATTGGCCTGACGCCTCACGGCTGATGACTGGACTGATTCTTAAACCCAAGAACTGCCGAGAGTCTGAAGATGGGAAACATTCAAAGGCCTTGGCTGAGTCAGATAAGCTTGGCAGACTTGAATCACGATACGGAGAATGTGTCGTGAGATGCACAACTCAACTCGGGTAACACAACTGCTGCGGACTGAAATGAAAGTTCTATTCTTACCGATCAGCAGCCACAATGTCCGATAAATTCACCGGCTAATTGACTAGCTGGATGACATGTGTGGATTAGGTAGCATTCTCATTTCAAATACCACTTTGTTGTTTGATAACTGTAGGGGCAGTAATAAGTGGCGTCCATCCTAATGCATCGTATTTGACGGCACACATTATCTGCATACCCTGTAGCTCTCTTGGAGCCTCCATGTGGCATCATCATCGTTTGACATGTGGTTCAAGCGTCCCTTTTGTTTCATCTTTTGACACGCAACGCTCGTCGCTGCACTCTTACGAATCTTGAACTTAAACGAAACAACAACCCAATTTTACCCACAGATATCGGTGATTCTGCCTTGCTGGCAAAAACGTTGACCTATCGTCCTGATCATGAACAAGTGCGGCACTACCTGAACGCCACCGCACTATACGACGCCTCAAAACAACTAGCCATGACGATCGAATTGCGACATGTACATGGTATTAGGATGAGGAGGACAGACAGGGGAAACGAATGAAGGAGATGAAGGGGCGTGGTTGAGGGTTCGAAACAGGACACAATGACAAAGCTTGGGCTACTGAACTCAATTCGACATGTTCTCGCGAAACGTGGCTATCGGAACCCAGCCTGGCCGTGACAGCTCAGATCTCCTCCATGTCCTCTAGGTCATCAATGGCGGGATAGTCACCGATCTCTACCCGTTCCGGACGCACAAAGACACCATGCTTGAGCTGCGACTCCTGGCCCCAGTAGCGAGTGCCGGAGATGCTCCCGTCGTTCTTCCCAACCGGCTCGTCGAGGTGGACGCCGACCCAGGGCCCAGCGCCCCCGGGGATCTCCTTGACCTCACCGACATATCTGACGGTGCCCCTCCTGAGGTCATCACCGCCAACTCGGCACCGCTTGCCAGCCTCGATCCCCCGCTGGGCGATCTCCTGCTCCAGGGCGGCAAGTCTCGCCTGCTCGAGGTTGGGCGCGTTGGGGTCGAACCGACCCAGCTTCTGCGCCTTCTTCCAGGCCAGCACGGAGTCCGTCTTCTTCTCGTACTCTTCCTCAGGCATGACATACTTCTCTACGTCTGTTGTGTCTGTGTAGTTTGGACGTGCCCCTGGGGGGCGGGTATCTGTCACCTAGTTCCGAGGGCGGCATGGTTAGTCCTAGAAACAACACCGCTCGCCAACCAGACCCCCCCTCCCTCTTGCTCGGGTCAAGATAAGAAGTAGATCATGCTTCTCTGCGTCAAAAATCGGGCAAGCATCGAAAACGGAGGCCTGGCAGCAACCGACTGGCCTCCCCTGAATCAATGCGCCGGAATGAGAAGGGGGAGGGGAGTGGGAGAGGTGGGGGACCAGGCAGGCGAGCAAGCCGGCAGGCAACAAGACGACGTGGCAGGCTGATACTTACATGTAGTTCTGCGTAGGGGGTGAGGTTGAAAATAGAGAGGCGCGTGCTATCCTCATCAGGGGCCTCGATAGTCACCTTCGTAGTCCCCGTATGGAGGCTGAGGACTTGACTTGAGGGCGGGATGCCCGTGATCGGCTCCAGCTTGGCCCTCAGCTGGCTGATGGACCACGAGGGGGTAATGCGTCGCTCGGACGCCGCATTGTCGGAAATTACTTGGAGGGGGACGTCAGCCATGACGATGATGGCTTTGTGGCGGGAAAAGTGAGGTGTGTTATTATATCCCTGGTGACATGAACAGCGGTTGGTTCAGATGGAGGTTCCTGTTGGCTGGGGAAGCCAGTTCCTGGTAACCCAACACCTCGTGGCCGGCTGCAAGTTCAGGAGGTGAGTGGCGATCGGAGAGTCAGCTTGTGTAGCCGAGCAATGATCCGGAGTTTTGATCCAATCGCGTTGTTTTGCAGCAATGAGGAAGCTGGATGCCTGGGAGTCACTGTTTCTTTGGTGAGGCTCCGGTCTGATGAGTTGGCCTTGGAGACTTCACTTGGTGATGTGTCTAGGGGTGGCTTATCCACTGGCGCCACACTCCAGAGGCCAGGCTTGGACCAATTAGTGGCTTCGTGCTACCTGGCAGTGAGGCAGTACAGGGTAGTGGCCACTGAGGCCTGTCATATCAGATGCACTCCCAACACCATCTCTTGCCATGCTTTCTTTGTCATGTCTATATCGCTTAAGTCATGTCCCGTAACGTATGGATGGATGTACACGCATGTTGCCCAGCGAACTCGAACCAGCGTCGCGCCCGCACATGTGGATGGATCGGCCGCCGATTCAGGGCATGGATTTTGGTTTGCAGAATATGCGGCACTGTGTCCATGGAAGGATGGATGGATGGAAGAGTTTCCATGGGCTGCAAGTCAGCGTGGAAGAAAAGCAACGCCAGCCACACACACATATGCAACGCTCATCTCCTGGTGTAGTATACATCTACGCTGATTGGTTGGCGCGGCTCTTGATGACCTACCTCTTTGTTCTTGGAATTACCGGTCGTCTGGGATGGTTGGTGACACACTTCTCTAGGGTTCCTTTCTCTTCGCCTTTGAAATCGTTGAGAAAAACGCCCAAGTGCCAAACTATGCCGCATGACAATAAGCCGTAGGTCTCGACCTCTTTCGATGATCTGGAAACAGGGGGGCCAGGCAACGAGGACCATTGACACGTACGAGGTAATTTCGTACACATGGTACTTTACACAGACGGACATCCCCCATTGTACATATGCCGGCCAACCACCGTCGATGCTCCTCTTATGCCGGTCATCGTGTCCTCATCTAACTAAGTACATGCGTTTGTGGGGGGTTCGCTGGCCTGAGAAATCCACACTATGGGTTCCATCGTAATGGAACCTCGATGAGGAAAGAAACATGTATAAGGGATTCAGCGGGATTCTCGTTTCCACCTCGTATACATGGAAGCAGGGAGAATCAATACCGCCTTCTGAGGGAAGGGGGCCTCGACTTGGGAGCTTGAAACCGAGAAACACGTCACTGATAACCTGCGCCCCTACCTGATCATTATGTGGCAAGGCATATAGATGGAAACCTGCCCACCGCCAGCCTCCCAAGCCCAAAAGCTGGTGGCAATATCCCGTATACTCGCTTGAATGTGACTCCCAAAGGGCACTCAACACCGACGTTTGCTTGCTGATTGTTCCCGTAACGACACGCCCTGTCAGGGAAAGCTAAGAACTAGTAGTGAGACAGCGAGTGCCGTTGCAACCATGGACGTACATGTAGGTATTGTAGACATGGGATGCGAGTGGCTTGGACTGCTACTCTTGCACACACACGTTGCTTTTTTCTATTTTTGCTTTTTGCTTTTTCGGCGTTCACGACTGGGTGGGTGGCAGAGTGAGAGTCAGAGGGGGAACGATGTCTCTTCCCCCATTCTGACCTAGACTTATTAAGCCCGCCCATTTGTTCAGCCAGTGTCGCATTGAGGCTGAAGGACCCCCACCATCTAGGGGTGTTTCAACAATGGGAAAGCAACCCTCTAGCATTGGTATTTAGGCGGTAAAAGTGTTGGGTTCAGAGGTGATTTTAGGCGCCTCGAAAATTCTCAGTCGTCTCACACCATCGACATCATCGAGCCAAAGCCGTTTCGAACACCTATCACACTTGATGCCCAACCGTTGAATCTTACTAACCCAGTAGTATGTGGGCATCATCATCATTAGGGTATCATAGGGTGCTCACCGCCACACTGCCGCCCCGACGTATGCGGTTCCTGTTGATTCGGGCGGTAGGGTTTAGGTTCATAAAAGTTCCTTTTCAGGCTGAGGGACAGCGCCATTAAAAAAAGAAAATACCAAGCCTAAGCAAATTTTGAAACAGGTTCTCCCTCCCCGAGGGGTGTACATAGTAGAGTTCTCTCACCGGTCAAA